CCCATCCAGGAGACTGGAACAACCAATCTCATTTGGCCAGCTAGATGGATCCATAGCAGGGGGGGTGCCAGCTACCCTAGCCACTTTGCCAATACATCTCTCCCTGGGCAACCATGAAGAGGACTTAACGTTTGTGGTGACCCCAGGTATGGAATGCCCAATGATTCTAGGGATGGAATGGTTGAAAAAATGGAACCCCTGGGTAAATTGGAGGACGACAGAAATCAAATTCCCGAAGGGGGACTTAAAACCCCAAGGGAGGCTACCAGAATCAAGAATAGAAAAAGCATCCATAGGAGAGGAAAAAAGATTAACAGAAATACCAGAGGAATATAGGGACCTTGCTGAAGTCTTCAGTGAGGAGAGGGCGAATGAGCTTCCCACCCACCGACCCACAGACTGTACCATTGAATTCAAGCCTGGGGCAAAACTCCCGAAACCCAGATTATACTCCATGAGCCCAAAGGAGAAGGAGGAAATGGAAAGATTTATAAAAAAAAACCTGGAGAGAGGGTTCATTGAGCCAGCCAAGCCTAAATTGGCTGCCCCGGTCCTTTTTAGAGAGAAGAAGGATGGCTCTTTACGTTTATGCGTGGATTTAGGGCCCTGAATACAATCAGTGAAAGCAACCTATACCCGCTGCCCCTCATGAAAGACATGCTGTCACACCTCTCGAAAGGGGAAATTTTTTCTAAACTAGACTTAAGGGAAGCTTACTATCGAGTGAGAATCAAGGAAGGGGACGAATGGAAGACTGCATTTAACTGCCCCATGGGGTGCTATCAATTCAAAGTCTTGCCATTTGGATTACAAGGGGGCCCTGCAGTCTTTATGCAACTAATCAATGACGTTCTAAGGGAGCACCTGTTTAAGGGGGTCCTTGTTTACTTGGACGACATTCTTATCTTTACCGAAACAAAAGAAGAACACGTCAAACTTGTCAGAGCGGTTTTAAAGAAGCTGCGAGCCGCTCACCTATATGCCAAACTCTCAAAATGCGAATTCCACCAGGAAAGGATAGACTACCTAGGCTATCGCATATCCCCACAGGGCATTGAAATGGACCCAGAGACGGTCAGAGCAGTATTAGAATGGGCACCACCCCGCACAAGAAAGCAACTACAAAGTTTCCTGGGCTTTGCAAATTTTTACCGCCAATTCATCCCCTCATTTGCACAGATAGCCTTGCCCCTCACTAACTTACTAAAAACGAAGGGAACATCCTCAGTAAAACCTAGCCAGCCACTAAAATGGACAATGGAGTGCCAAGCAGCGTTTGAGAGACTAAAGAGACTTTTTTCTGCCGAACCAGTACTAAGGCACCCAGACATGGACAAACCCTTCATAATACAGGCAGATGCAAGTGATGTGGCAGTGGGGGCTGTGCTATTACAAGAAAATGATGATGCAGTATTGCAACCCTGTGCATATACATCTAAGAAACTCACGGAAACAGAACAGCGCTGGCCCGTATGGGAGAAGGAGGCTTATGGGATACGTTGGGCATTACTCACGTGGCGACAGTTCCTGGAAGGCAACAAAATCCCCTTCCAGGTATGGACTGATCACAAAAATTTAGAAGCCCTGAAAACTTCCAGGAAACTCAATCCCAAACAAGCCCGCTGGTCCCAGCATTTTCACCCATTCCAATTTAAGCGCAAACATTTACCAGGAAGAAAGAACTTCCTGGCAGATGCACTATCTCGCATGCCCCAATATAACAGCACACGAACCACAGACTCTAGACCAATAATGGCAGAGTCACAACTGGCAGCGCCAGTAACCACAAGAACCCAAGCCAAAATAAAACCACAACTGGACAGCCAAACTGGGAGTGAATTCAGAAAAAGTTTGGAAACAGATGATTGGTTCCAGACAAACAAACATGTGTGCACAATGAGAGACGGATTGCCTTGGGTAGGGGAAAAGTTATATATACCAACAACTCAAAGACTAACTTTCATGCAACTTTGCCATGACACAAAATCAGCAGGGCATTTTGGATTTGTAAAAACTTTACACTTAATTAAACGGCAATTTTGATGGCCATCAATAAAAAAGGACATAGAAAGTTATGTTGCCAGCTGCCCAACCTGTGCATCAGCAAAGAGGTTGCAAGGGAAATCGCCAGGGCTGTTACAACCAGTGGCAAGTCCCTCAGCCCCCTGGAGGAAAATAGCCATGGATTTTATAGTGGAATTGCCTGAAAGCAATGGGAATACTGTTATCTGGACAGTCACGGACCTATTTTCCAAACAGGTGCACTTTATCCCTTGCCAAAAAATTCCCACTGCAAAGGCCTTAGCAAAACTTTTCATCCAGCACATTTACAGATTGCACGGGGCACCCCAACGCATCATCTCTGATAGGGGAGTGCAATTTACGTCTGCATTTTGGAAGGAATTTTTATCCCTCTTAGGGACCACTCAGGGATTGACATCTAGCCACCACCCTCAAGGAGATGGACAAGCGGAACGCTGCCAGTCGGTACTTGAGCAATATTTGAGATGTTTTTTAAATTTCCAACAGAGTGATTGGACGGACTTACTTCCTTTTGCAGAAGTTGCCTACAATAATGCAGTCCACTCCAGCACAGGCTACACTCCTTTTCAAATAGCCAACGGCCAAAGTTTCAACCCTATGCCAGAGTTAACCCCAAAAGAACCAACGATCCCTTCACTGAAAGAATGGATGGAAAACCTACAAAACACCTGGCCAATAGTCAGAAAATCACTAGATGAAGCTAGGCGGGCATACAAAGCACAAGCCGATAAAAAAAGGGTTGAGCCTACACCATTCATTATAGGAGAAATGGTGTACTTATCTACAAAATACCTAAAGTCCCTACAGCCCTGTAAAAAACTTGGACCAAAATATATAGGACCTTTTCCAATTAAAAGGATCATAAATCCAGTAACAGTAGAATTAGAATTACCCAAAAACCTCAGGCAAATACACCCAATTTTTCATTGCAGCTTGCTGAAAAGAGAGCATCAGTCACCTCTACGGCCAAAAATCCCCCCCCCACCACCTCCAATCATGGTGGAGGGGGAACAACACTTCGAAATAAAAGAGATCCTTGACTCTAGGAGATATCGTGGAACAACTCAGTACCTAGTTGCCTGGAAACACCTCCCTGCCTCACAAAATGAGTGGGTCCATAAACGTCACGTCAGAGCCCCGAAGCTATTGAAGAAGTTTCACACAGAGTATCCTAACAAGCCTAACTAAATTTTTTACTTGTGTTTTCTTTCAGGTGGATCTCTCTTATTGTTAAGAGGGGCCGGATGTCAGAATCCAATTATATTTCATCTTTAATTATCAAACATAGAAACTCCCAATTCTGCCTTCTCTGGATTCTGCCATAAGAGGGAGAAAAGGGGGAGAGCAAAGGGGCTTTATGGCCCTCACTTCCTTCAGCACACTTCAAAGGACTGAATGTGTGTTTATTGTGGCCTCTAAGCGTTAACATATCAAAGAAGAGTAATTGCCTTTCATGTAGTTATCTGAAGTCTCCATCCAGACGGAAGAAGAAAGGGGATGGAATTGTGATACTTGAAACTATCACTGGAAGGGGGGTTGATTGGGTGGGACTACTGGGGAACCCCTTAAAACCTTGAATGGGAGAGCTTGAACCCCAAGTCCTGTCTAGCATGCCTGCAACCATTTTCTCTTAATAAAGGATTCCTGTTGGAAGAATTATTCCAAGAGTTCTGTCTTCTTAAGATGCAAAGTGGGGTGGGTCCTTACATCTTTATTTGCATGTCAGCCATCTTATATAACCGCTTTGACCAAGATGGTCACTGATTATATTATATATTAACTAAATTAATAACAATACTATGAAAATATTTTATCAAGAAAGGCTATAAGATCACAGTTACAAATACTAAGACAAGCAAAGAAGTTTTGTTTCTCTTTAATACTACTTAATGGTTGCCTGGACTTTTTTGCAGCCCAACTCTGATAGCCCTACCAAATACTTAAATATTTTAATGTTACTAGTTAATCAAAACTTCACAATTTATTTGCAAGATGGACCATAATAATATTATTCTACACAGCCCAATGTCACTTATCACGAGATGGGCAGCTATATAAATTAGATACGGGAAAAAAATACTTGTCTATCTTTCAAGGTAGTTATAAAAATAAGTGACCCAAAACAAATATTTTAGATATTTGGGAAACATGCTTCATAATTTGGTGAAGAGTAAGGTTTGCATACCAAATTAGAAGTATCTCCCTGAACCAGGATGAGGGATTTCTGCCTCAACATGCCCTAAAAAGTATTATTTACTTATTATTTACTTTGTCAGGACTAACTTGAGTCAAGTTGAGATGTAAGCAGGGCTTTTTTTTTTTTGTCATAGAACGCCTAGAACAGAGTTTCGGCACCTTTTTTGGATGGAACCTTGTAGGATAGACAAGGCGGGTTGTATGACATGTGTGAGTTCTGGCACCTTTTTTTTTTTTTTTTTTTTTACAAAAAAAGCACTGGATGTAAGTATCACTATTGTAATCTTAATTGAGCATGCTCTTTTCTTCCAGACCTTAATGTGTTTTCTTATTTTCTGATAGCACAATCCTATCCATTTCTCCTGAATGCATCCAGAATGTTATGATTTTATTTTTGATAGAATAACTGCTTTGAGAATAAATTTGAAATATATTTGAAAAGGCAGGACGAACATCCCATCATTAAAAGCCCAAATTATTATTTCCCAAAAAGTCCCCCCAACTCTTCAAGCTGATTTGGCCCTCTTGTCCACATAACAATGTCCAGGTGAGGGCGATTTGGATTTATTTGCACTTCATGCTAAACTATTTTTTAGAATGTTGACTAAAGTTGGGAAAATAGGGAAATATGCAACTTAATGATAATTTATTTCATTTTATTAAATTTTAAAAGCGCCCCTCTCCCTCATACAATGTTACGAAAGAGGAACATTTGTTAAAATAAACTGAATAGGTGTGTATTAGAGCAAGCTTCTGTTCACTTTGTTACACGAGAGTGATTTCAGGAGAAACACGCCTAACCAACATTGTAGAAAGGGGGTTCTCCAAAAATGAATGGACGCCGCATAAATGTGGATTGAATACAAAAACCTAGTTACCAGAACGCCGAAGTGGTTTAGTTACAAAGAGAATGAATGATGATTAAATCACAAAGCGAATCTATCTAAATGATCTGGGAGAAAAGAGACCTCTACGAAAACCCGACTGGAATAGATGGAACTGACGAGATCCTCAAGAAATAAAAAGGACCGAGACGCAAATAATAAAATGCAGGACATGAGGCGTGTATGGCCGCGTTGGAAACAAGCACCTTTGCCGATATAAAAGGTACACAGACGATCCGGCTCTTCTTTAGCTACGTTTTCTCATTTCACGCCTTTAATTATTCCGTTTCTCGCTCCCTTTGTGCGCCATGCGTAGCGTTGCTCAGCTAGGAAAGGAAGAGCGCGACCGTCCGGAAGGCTGTTGTGCGTGTCGCTTTGAACGCCCTGCATGGAGCGGACCCTCTTTTTGAGAATTGAGAAACCCTGCTTGGTGCCTCAGCGTGCCAATGAACAGAGCTAATCCTGGCTTAAACCGCAAGCACATTCAAGCAAGCTACGGCTCGGGCCGTTGCACAACCTATCCGCAGCAAGGCTACGCCGGCCCGGGATTCCAGCAGCTTCCCTCCCCCCCACCGCCTCCCGCCGCCATCTCGTTCAACCGCGGGGCGGAGAGACCCCAATTCAGCAGCTCCGCCGCCAGCTGGACCTCCGTGCCGCGCCGGATTGGCGAGGACGCCTCTCCATTAAAGCGGGCCCAGCCAGTCGCCAGCCTCCCCCTTCCCCCTGAGCGTGCGGGCGCCTTTGGCGAGGAGGAAGAGGCGCTCGCGGTGGGAGGAGGCTCGGCGGTGTCAAAGGGGCGGCGAGCGTTTCGCGGCTCCTGAGGGGGTCGAGCCTCCGCTCGCAACATCTTCGCCTAAGGGCATCGCTGGCAGCCGCTTCCCGCGGCTGAGGAGGTCCGCGCTCTCCCGCTGCTGCTCGGCCTCCTCGATGCGCGGCGGCGGCGGCCACGACGTGGGTTTCCTTCGCTGCCTGCGCGCTCCGGGCGGCGAGCAGCCGAGCGAGCGCGCCAGCAATCGACCGGCTGCCTCTAATCTGCCCCCAGCGCTGCCCGCTCCCGGCTACTTTGCGCCCTCGCCCTCGCTGCCCCCTCGCCTTTCTCCCCGCCCCTCCCGGCCAACGGTGCTGCTCGCGAGTCAACTGTCTTCATGAGCCCCGAGGATGTCCGGAAAGCATTATAAAGGCCCCGAAGTGAGCTGCTGCATCAAATATTTCATCTTCGGCTTCAACGTCATCTTCTGGGTAAGGCGTTCGTTTTTGTTTTTATTTTTCTTCTGGTCGAGGAAGCTGTGCGTGATGGTGCGGTTTCTGCGTGGAGGGGTAGATCTGCGCGGAGGGAGAGCGAGAGCAAACGCGCGTGGCCGTGGAGCACGATGAATCGCCCCTGGCAGGTTGAAGGCGTTTGGGGGTCTTTGTCCATGGGTAGAGCTGGGCTAAGGTCGCCCTAGGAAATCTGGACAGTTTCATGGAGCCTTTTATTCCCTTCGAAATCCTGGATTTGCTTTTCGTGACTGCCTCGTCTCCTCTTCCCTGAGGGTTTTGAAAACAATGCCCAGGCTGTGCCTTTTTCCTTTTGACCAGGTAGACCTGGTGGTAAGGTGTGGGCCTTCTCCCCAGTTTTAGGCCTTCGTTGCTTCCAGTTATTATTTATTTAAAAATACGCCTGTAGAAAGCAACATTCTACTTTATCAAGAAGCCCTAGAAACTGTGGTCTTAAAAAAAGGATTATGCAATGCATAGAGAAGTGAAAAAGAGGTTTTGGTGGGTTTCTTCTAATTCCATAGAAGAGCCCTAGAAGGGAGCTTACCAAGCCACTGCATATTTATGTGTGTTTAGCCACACAATTTACCAAGCCACTGCATGTTTATGTGTGTCTAGAATAAGGCAAGATTAGAGGTAGCATTTTTTTGAGAGTAAACATTTTTTCAGGCAGTGGGTATCTATCTATCTGGCACCCTCCAGATGTGCTTGATAATCTTAGCATTGATGGTCTTACTTGTTGGATAATGATAATGCAAGCAAACAACCAGTCTCAGAGACCACTAAGGACTTCACATGGGTAATCTTATTGAACATCTGGAAAATTATGTTGGTTGGAAATTGTGAATCTGAGATTTGTAGTTGATCAGAGTCATTGAGAGTTGGGCAGCCATAAGTTTAAACTAGTGTTGTTATATCTGGAGAATGCCAGGTTGGGAAATCAGTTGTATGCCAAGCTTATTACCGTCCTGTCTGACCTCCTTTAATTGGCTTTCTGGCTGTATGATAAATTGGTGCTGTGTGCTGAAATACCACAATACTTTTTCCCTACTTTCTCCCTTTTACTATCATAAATCTTGATTTATGATAGTTTTGACTACCTCCTTACATTTACAAATATCAAAAATAAAATTAAAAACATTTTCCCATTATTGTTTCCTAAATTGGGTTGCTAGGAGAAGAAACAGTTCATGCAAAATGTCAGAACTTGGATGTTGGTTGATGGTATACATATCGGATCATTTTTTTAGCTTTTGAATTTTGGGTGGGCTGGACTGAAAATACTCCTGCGGGGGATAAGAATGTATACCAACATATCTGGAGACTCTTAGATTGAAAATGTGTGCCAAAATCAATTGTAGTAAATAATGTTGTTTTGTTCAGGGTACTTGGCTTGTAGAAGACCATATTCCATGAAATCTGCTAGTGGTTGGTGCATTACATAAAGGAAATAGATTTTGCATTAAGTAATTATACATAGTAAAGGTACACAGAATTGCATCTGAATGACTATGAAAGCAATCTAGACAAAGTCTTCCACTGCTGTATGAGAAAATTCATTAAAAGCCGTCCCCCTCTGTTATTATATATTGAAATGAAGGAAGTGCCAAGCTTTGATTAGTTTTGGCATTCTGGTCAAAAGTTAATGGAAATGTGGCCAGTGGCCTAAGACAAGAGAAAGGTGCTAATGTTGTTATTCAGTCTGCCCATTGAGAAAAAACCTTCAATCATATAACAATCTGGGCTCTTATCCAGAAAAGCTTTTGCTTTTGTAAATGTGAACATTTTGATATTACAAGATTCTTGCTTGTTAGTAGTCTCATCCTGGAAAATAAAAGCCAAGTTTGTATAAGTCCTTTCTAGGAAGCCTAATTCTCCTATAAAGGCAGAGAAATACATGGTTTTGCTAGAAGCCTGGGACTCTTGTCTTGTGAAAACCACACTGGATTTATCTAAAGATTTCCAAATGTGTAAAAGTTTTGTTGTTAATACTTACATCAGCTTTGAAGAATAGTATTAGCTATACTATCAACCCTGCCTTAAATTAGTATTCTGATATGACTGTATTTAAAAATGTCCTAGATTGAGTCTGAAATTATTTTTAAAGGACATCTGGATCATTGGTTGTAGCCTTGTAAGTGTATGTATCTGTGCAATTGCGTTCTGAAGAAAGTGGTAAATTTAGAAGAAACCTAGACCATTCTGAGAAAATACTCTTGAATTTTGATTATGTGCCATCAACTTGGTGTTGACTCTTAGCAACCACATAAATGGATTTTTCTCCATGATGATCCTGTCCTTAAGCTAGTATTAACCTGGGCTCTGCGCTGGCCGGAATTTTGAAGACTGATCATGATTTTCACTTATTCAGCATTGTTGGATGGTGGAACAGTCACTGAGCAAATGGACATTAGACAAGGACCATCTATAATTCTAAATCTTACACTTGTACTCCATTAATACATGATCAGCAAGTATCATCTGAGAGCCAGTTTGGTGTAGCATTTATTTAAGGCATCAGGCTAGAAACTGGGAGACTATGGAGTTCTAGTCTGTCTTAGGCACAAAGCCAGCTAGGTGACTTTGGGCCAGTCACTCTCTCTTAGTCCTGGGAATGAGGCAATAGCAAACCATTTCTGAAAAACCTTGCCAAAAAAACTTCAGGGATATATCCAGATGGTTTCAAAGAATCAGACATGATTGAATGGAAGGGGAGAAAAAAAATCATCTGGCTATTTATAGTTCCTAATCTGCTAAAATGTTACTGATAGGCTGCAAAATCATTTTCTAATTGGCTTAGCTGTTTTGATGTCAGGGAATGGATGAGAATGTAAATTACAAAGTTGAGGAAGAGTCTCTGATATATCAACATAAATTTCGTCTGCATTCTGAAGTCTTGTTAAACGCACAGTACATTTTATATGCAAATTTTATTTGCATTTAACCTAAGGCTAGTGTAAATATTTAGATTTACTTTTACATGTATCATTTGCTTGAGCATTATTAGCACATAAACTTATGAATCTGACACTGTAACTTATGAGTTAGAGACAGGTCATCAGGAATGTTGCCATGACTGTGGCCTAAGCTGTCTTCCTGCATGTTGGCTTGTTTTGAAAGTCCCAGGATGATTATATCTGTAGGGACACATTTGAATAGTACATTTAATCCTAAACTGAAATGCTTGTGTAGACTTCACAAGTTGGAACATGCTATGCTTGTATTAATAATACTCCCTTTAAAGCCTTAAAATAATTGCATTAGTGAGAGGATTACATTCACTTCAACTTACTTGCCTCCATGCTGAAAACATGATTAGAGGTTTTATTTGTATGTCCAACTACTAGAAAAATTGGACTGGTATGTACAAGGAATAAATTTTGTGATTAGAAACCTACCTAAAAGCAGGAAAGGATTTTATTTTGGCAGCAGAGTTAGGTGACATGTCCATGGTATGTGGATTGAATCACAATTGCATTTTCTAGTTTACGTGTTTTATAGTGATTGAAGTAGGTTGCCCTTTTAATTTAAATTAAATTTTCTTTGTAAGTGCATAATATATTTAACGTGGAATTTGAAGCTTTGTATTTTATATTTTTAGTGCATTATGTTTAAAATTTGCTTAGAGAAGAAAAAAGTTGCATTTATAATGGAGAGGAAGACCAAGCATAGACCTATTTGGGAAAGGGAGGAGTTTAATTGTAATTGTCATTTCCCATGTCAGTCAATGCTGACTGCTGAAAAATGGGCATGTCTTATAACCACAATTGGGACCAGAATTTCTGTTGCTAAGCAAAGTGGTGGTTAAATGAGTCACAGCCAACTTTATGATCCTTTATTTTTTGTCCCAGTTAAGTGAATCATGTGGTTGATAAGTGAACCCAGCTTCCCCCATTGACTTTGCTTGTATAAACTTTCTGGGAAGGTTGAAAATGGTGATCATGTGACCTTAGGATACTGCAGCTGTTGTAGAACATGCCAGTTGCCAAGTGCCCAAATGTTGATCACATGACCGTGGGGAAAGTTGCGATAGTTGTAAGTCTGAGGACCATTCATAAGTAATTTTTTAAAGTGCTGTTGTAACTATGCAACCTATTTGAATGGTTGTAAGTCAAGGACTATTTGTAGGATGTTAGCTTAGGAGGCTCTGCAGAAAGTTAGAAATTTTTTTAAAGGGTCACTGCAGAAGACTTGCATTTTTGTACCAGCCAAATATTTTCAGAAGCTAATATGGGCTTTCTTTCTGCTTTTTCTAAAAAAAAAAACAAAACAGTTTTACCTTAGAGAAACTAATTGGGAAAAATTCCTAATGCTTTTCTGTAGATGAGTTAATAATAGTACTTGCTTACATGAAATATATTTTAATAAAAGAGATTAGAATGATAATTACATTTGATTTGGGAAGTTGCAGTTGACATTCTTAGTGGCAATGCAGTTGCTCACCTACTTTGTAAATTTCAGCTGAATTGGGTAAACCATGAAATAAAAATAATACAGAATAGCAGAGTTGGAAGGGATCTTGGAGGTCATCTAGTCCAACCCCCTGCTCAGGCAATAAACCCTATACCATTCCAGACAAATTGCTGTCCAATCTCTTCTTAAAAACTTCCAGTGTTGGAGCATTCACAGCTTCTGGAGGCAGGTTGTTCCACTGATTAATTGTTCTGTCAGAAAATTTCTCCTTAGTTCTAGGTTGCTTCTCTCTTTGATAAATTTCCATCCTTTATATCTTGTCTTCCCCTCAGGTGTTTTGGAAAATAGGTTGTCTGCCCTTCTGTGAAAAATAACACGGTTACAGGTTTTTTTTATTAGCTTTCAGGATTTGATGAAAGACATAGTGCAGAACACTTCTTGAATATATATTTTGCTGTTTAGTTAAGACAAACTGCATCTATTTTCCATTTCAGTAACATTCCTTAGCAAGGTGACTTACATTTAAGAAGCCAAGTCTAGTTGTCCACTCTTCTCATAATTGTTTTACT